CACATCTAAATATGGGGCACGAAGGCCTGTGCACGGCCCACAGCATCACCTGTGATTCCGAGCAGATATTCCTGCAGTGACGATCCACTAGGCTGAGGTTGGATCTTTCCTTCCTCAGTCTGGTAGTTTCTCTCAGCCGTTGTATTTACGACTCTGTTTCCATTCCTTTGACTGAAAAAAACATCCACATGACAGACTTCTCTCAGAGCACATCATACAATGCACTTTTCTCCAGGCTTCTCTCCCTCCTGCAGAATTGTGCCTTTGGAGTTGTATACACTCCACAGATAAGAGAGAGTCACCATTTGAAGGTTAACAGACTGGGAAACTGTCAGAGTGGGGAATAGCTAAGGAGCCAGCTTAGTCTGGCTTAGAAGACATTTCATGCACAATCATACAGTGGCCCTGAGTTTTTATGACTGCGTGACCTTTCAGTATCCTGGAGTGGGTAAATATATAGAGTTGTTATTGTTGTTGTTCAGTTGCTCAGTCATGGCCAACTCTTTGCGACCCCATGGACTAGAGCACGCCAGGCTTCCCTGTCCTTCACTACCTCCCTGAGTTTGCTCAAGCTCAGGTCTATTGAGTCGATGATACTATCCAACCATCTGATCCTCTGTTGCCCTCTTCTCCTGCCCTCAATCTTTCCCAGCATCAGGGTCTTTTCCAATGAGTCGGTTCTTTGATTTTGGCCAAAGTATTGGCACTTTAGCTTCAGCATCAGTCCTTCTAATGAATATTCATAGAGAGGAGAGCAATTAGTGTTTTTTGATACCTTCTGGAGGGACTATTTTAGGTAGAACATGTGGTATGTCTTCTAGGAAAATGCTTCACGATTCTTTGTCTTCAATAATGCAGTTAAGAAAAGGCAGGTCAGATTCTGAACTATAATCTCTTCTTTAATTGTCATTGCCACTGTTAGTTTTGTTATTTTTTTTTTAATATTCTTTTGGATTTGGGTGGCATATCTGTTAGGCACACCTAATCTATCACCCTGTAAACCCATATGCCCTAAAGCTGGAATTTTCACCCATGTCTATCTAACCCCAAAGTATCTATCTAAAACTTTCTGCTACTTCCTGTTGCCACTTCATGCAAGCTTTAAAAGAAGTGCGTGCAATTCTGCTCCTTAAATATTAGAGTCAACTTCAAAATAAATTCTAATTATTATAACTTTGGTTTGTATTTCCCAAATCTCATCTGGAATTCAGTAGTAAGAAGAAAAAGGCAGGGGAGGGCTTTTGTGTGGCCTATACTTCAAAAACATTGGTTGTTGGAAGTAGTTCCAGACAGAAGTCAGAAAAGGCATGTGACTCACCAAACCCAGAACGTTAATGAAACATATGCAGGTGGATCTGGGACTCCATAATTGGGGTGTAATAAGACAAAAGAGGAAAGAGTTTAGGCTTTGGGTCTGGATGAACCAGACCCAAACTCCTGCTGTGCTGCCTTGAACAACGATTCTGAGTCTTGGCTTTCTGATCTGTAAAATGCAGCTAATGATGTTCACTTCCCAGGTGGCACAGAGAGTTTATATTTAACACTTTGGACACAAAGTGTCCATAAAAATAGTACTTGGCTTACCAGGTTAGACACTATTGATTCCAAGTAACAGAGTACCTAATTTAGATTGGCTTAATTAATAATAAAGGAGCTATATTATATAGATGAAAAGCTTTAAGTTAGAGTGGGCTTCACATGCAATTTAACACATCAGTTCTTGATATCAATCAGGGCTCCAAGAGTTTGCTGAATTTGCCTCATTGATTTGTGAGAGTTAGCTTTGGGCTGAAGGCAGCTTCCTTCATGCTGACAAAAATGGTCCATCACAAACTGAGAGAGTAGCATTACCACGTGTAAAACAGAGACCGAGTGGGAAGTTTCTGTATAATACAGGGAGCTCAGCCTGCTGTTCTGTGATGACCTAGAGAAGTGGGATTGGGGACGGTGAGATGAAGGTTTACGAGGGAGAGGATTTATGTATACTTATGGTTGATTTACATTGTTATACGGCAGAAACCAACAAAATACTGTAAAGCAATTAGTGCGAAAGTCAAAGTGTTAACCTCTCAGTCCTGTCCGACTCTGCGACCCCTTGGACTGTGGCCTGCCAGGTTCCCCTGTCCATGAAATTCTCCAGGCAAGAATACTGGAGTGTGCAGCCATTAAAAATAATTAAAAATTATTTTTAAAAACAACTAAAAATAATTTTTGAAAAAATGGTTCATCATACTCTCTAAAAGGAGGGTATGAACAAAATAAGCCTTTGTTACAGAATTATTCACAGGAGTTTCAAGATTCACTCTGCTTTATCACCCCAGAACCATATGGCAAAGGAGATAAAATCCACAGAATGTCCCAGCTTCAGGACCTGCCTTGAGAGCAGGCACAAGCCCACTCTCTGCAAACCCTCAATACCTCTATCCCTTCATTTCCCCACCGCTCCTCCTCCATACCCTCAACACTTCTCAGGAACCATTGTCTAGTCTGGTTCAGAAGATCAAGGAAGGAAACCCTCTCTCTCTCCAAACTCTCAAATCTTTTCTCTATGCCTACAGTTCTCTACAGATTCCTACAATTTTAGGTTTTTAGAAAGGATGCCAGAAAGTTCTTTGTTTCTGTATTTTACAGCAGTGTATCCCTTCTCGGTGACAAAGATCACTTAATACTTAATTTTTCCTTTCCTCAAGTCAGAGGAGTTAGAAAGTCTTGCAAGTATTCAAGTCAAACACATAAATTTGTGAAGATATGCTACACACACAGCACTTCTTTCAGTAATCATTAGCATTTTCATCTTGGTGTGATGTTTTTATTAAAACTGTCTTGCTATTAGCAATATACTCTATGGTCATAGCAAACACACTCTTCCAACAACACAAGAGAAGACTCTACACATGGACATCAACAGATGGCCAACACTAAAATCAGAGTGATTATATTCTTTGTAGGCAAAGATGGAAAAGCTCTATACAGTCAGCAAAAACAAGACCGGGAGCTGACTGTGGCTCAGATCATGAACTCCTTATTGCCAAATTCAGACTTAAATTGAAGAAGGTAGGGAAAACTATTAGACCATTCAGGTACGATCTAAATCAAGTCTCTAACGATTATACAGTGGAAGTGAGAAATAGACTCCAGGGACTAGATCTGATAGACAAAGTTCGTGATGAACTATGGATGGAGGTTTGTGACATTGTACAGGAGACAGGGAGCAAGACCATCCCCAAGAAAAAGAAATGCAAAAAAGCAAAATGGCTGTCTGAGGAGACCTTAAAAATAGCTGTGAAAAGAGAAGCAAAAAGCAAAGGAGAAAGGGAAAGATATACCCATTTGAATGCAGAGTTCCAAAGAATAGCAAGGAGAGATAAGAAAGCCTTCCTCAGTGATTAGTGCAAAGAAATAGAGGAAAACAATAGAATGGGAAAGACTAGAGATCCCTTCAAGAAAATCAGAGATACCAAAGGAATATTTCATGCAAAGATAGGCTCAATAAAAGTCAGAAATGGTATGGACCTAACAGAAGCAGAAGATATTAAGAAGAGGTGGCAAGAATACACAGAAGAACTATACATAAAACCAGAGATCAAATTGCCAGCATCCACTGGATTATCGAAAAAGCAAGAGAGTTCCAGAAAAACATCTATGTCTGCTTTATTGACTATGCCAAAGCCTTTGACTGTGTGAATCACAATAAACTGTGGAAAATTCTGAAAGAGATGGGGATACCAGACCACCTGACCTGTGTCTTGAGAAATCTGTATGCAGGTCAGGAAGCAACAGTTAGAACTGGACATGGAACAACAGAATGGTTCCAAATAGGAAAAGGAGTACGTCAAGACTGTATATTGTCACCCTGCTTATTTAACTTCTATGCAGAGTACATCATGAGAAACACCAGGTTAGAGGAAGCACAAGCTAGAATCAAGATTGCCAGGAGAAATATCAATAACCTCAGATATGCAGATGACACCACCCTTATGGCAGAAAGTGAAGAAGAACTAAAGAACCTCTTGATGAAAGTGAAAGAGGAGAGTGAAAAAGTTGGCTTAAAGCTCAACATTCAGAAAACTAAGATCATGGCATCTGGTCCCATCACTTCATGGTAAATAAATGGGGAAACAGTGGAAACAGTGTCTGATTTTATTTTGGGGGGCTCAAAAATCACTGCAGATGGTGACTGCAGCCATGAAATTAACAGACACTTACTCCCTGGCAGGAAAGTTATGACCAACCTAGATAGCATATTAAAAAGCAGGAACACTACTCTGCCAACAAAGGTCTGTCTAGTCAAGGTTATGGTTTTTCCAGGAGTCATGTATGGATGTGAGAGTTGGACTATAAAGAAAGCTGAGCATCAAAGAATTGATGGTTTTGAACTGTGGTGTTGGAGAAGACTCTTGAGAGTCCCTTGGACTGCAAGGAGATCCAACCAGTCCATCCTAAAGGAGATCAGTCCTGAGTGGTCATTGGAAGGATTGATGTTGAAACTGAACCTCCAATACTTTGGCCACCTGATGCAAAGAGCTGACTCATTTGAAAAGACCCCTGATGGGATGGGGAGGGAGGTGGGAGTGGGGGGATCGGGATGGGGAACACAAGTAAATCCATGGCTGATTCATGTCAATGTATGGCAAAAACCACTACAATATTGTAAAGTAATTTGCCTCCAACTAATAAAAATAAATTTAAAAAAACACCAAAAAAAAAGAAAATACCCTGCTGCTGGGAAAGATTGAAGGCAGGAAGGGAAGGGTACAACAGAGGATGAGATGGTTGAATGGCATCACCGAACTCAATGAACATGAGTTTGGGTAGGCTCTGGGAGTTGATGATAGACAGGGAGGCCTGGTGTGCTGGGGTTCATGGGGTCGTGAAGAGTTGGACATGACTGAGCGACTGAACTGAACTGAACCAAGGACTACCTTGCTGATACTGCTGAACAAATAAAAAGGACATTTCTGCTTCCTTTTCCGGTAAGTGGCCTGAGCTGACCCTTGAAAATGGTGCGCTATTCACTCGACCCAGAAAACCCCACAAAATCATGCAAATCAAGAGGTTCAAATCTTTGTGTTCACTTTAAGAACACTCGTGAGACTGCCCAGGCCATAAAGGGTATGCATATCCGAAAAGCCACCAAGTATCTGAAGGATGTCACTTTAAAGAAGCAATGCGTGCCATTCCGTCGTTACAATGGTGGAGTTGGTAGGTGTGCACAGGCCAAACAGTGGGGCTGGACGCAGGGTCGGTGGCCCAAAAAGAGTGCTGAATTTTTACTACATATGCTCAAAAATGCAGAGAGTAATGCTGAACTTAAGGGCTTAGATGTAGATTCTCTGGTCATTGAGCACATCCAAGTGAACAAAGCCCCCAAGATGCGGCTCAAGACTTAACAGAGCTCACGGTCGGATCAACCCCTACATGAGCTCTCCCTGCCACATTGAGATGATCCTTACTGAAAAAGAACAGATTGTTCCTAAACCAGAAGAGGAGGTTGCACAGAAGAAAAAGATATCCCAGAAGAAACTGAAAAAACAAAAACTTATGGCCCGGGAATAAATGCCGCAGAAAATAAATGCAAATAAAAGTAAAAAAAAAAAAAAAAGGACATTTCTAATCCCCAGCCTACAGATTCAAGGACTTGAGCGTGCAGAAATTCTTGATCTGCTCTCCAAGGAGTCCTTGTAGGAGCCCTCCTAGCTCTGGGTTTGTATTCCTATTAGCGGAATGGCTGAACTGAGGAATTCTAGTTTTCATCAGCTCTTCATGATTTGCTAAACCCAATAATCTTTATTTGGAATTCTCCTTTAGTTCTTTCAGTTTAAAAAGAAAACTAGTAACAACAGCAAATGACAGAGGATAAATAAATGCAGCTTTTTCAATTCCTGATCAGTGGAAACAGAGCTGTATTTATTGCATATCTTGAGATACTTTGGCTATTATTTTTCCAAACACAACATTGCTTCAGCAGATCCATGTGTCACCATCAAAGAAATCTACACACAGAAAGACAAACAGGCAAAGCTTCCTGGCTTCTTTATACTCCCTAAATTTGAAAAATGGGCAAGATCATAATTTATGTATGGCACTTAGCATATACACAATACATGATATCACTCCTTATTACCATTATTATATAAAGAAATCTGTATATTCTGCCTAACTACCTGGTCTAGGCCTTCAGATCTATTTCCCAACACAAGTCCAGTGGGTGGTAGTAAGGGTTTGTAGCAGAGTTCCTAGTTGAAATTAGATGCATGGGACTTCTCAGTAAAGCTACAAGCAAGAAGTGTTTGTTAGATTAGTTTAAATACCATTCTGTATTATTAAAGTTATATTGTACATGTGCTAATGTTATATTTGAGTAAAACTCTAAGGTAGGACCTCTTGTTTGAAAACACTTTGTTCAAGAAATTTAATAATGGTAAACCAAGGGAAAACATTTAAAACTTTGAGGAAGAAATAATCTGATAGTTCATAACCATGGTCCTCATGTACCTCTGAAGATAATGAACCATACCTAGGACTTGCCAAATCTAAATGAGAAGTCTGGGGTTTAGGTATATAACTGAACATCACCTAGTTGTACAACCCATAAGGCTAACAATTCCTCACAGTGGGTTCATCTTCTACCCAAAGAATCCTTTTAACCAAGCTTCTTTTTTTAATAGTTTGCCTATAACACAGTGATTGGCACAGAATGGGCACTTAATATACATATGCTGAATGAATAAATAGATTAATGAATGAGCTACCTTCATATTTTGGTATGTTCTGGCACTCCAATCACCTTCAGCCCAAGCAATGGCATTCAACATTAGAGAATTCAGAGAGACACGCGAAGACCCTAAAATGAAAACAGATCCCCACTGAGTCACATATTAAAAGAAGCCATGTTTTTTTTCCTATAACACATTAAGCCAGAAGAGAGATAAGCATGAAGACATGTTGCCAAGACCAATCTCAACTCATATATCACTTTGAATAGCCAGGGTGTTTCTTCAGGGAGAACAGGTAGTATAAGAATGGGACTCAGAGACGGGGGAAAATGCAACTCGCATTTCTCTCCAGATGTTTTCATTAGATTCCCCACCTTGGGACAGTCAAATGCAAAACTACAACTGCAGAGCAGACTAAACAGGAAAGTGTTCTCTGTCATTCTGTTAATCCAACTTCATCCAGCAGTCTGCTGTTGTAAAGCCCTGGAGTAGAAAGACAAGTCCAGTTTCCTTCAGCCTCCTAGGTTATATCCAGTTGCCCACTTCTGAGGGTCTGCATTCTCTAGTCCCTCCCCCAGGACCTGCATCCCAGCCCCACAGCCACCACGGAAATGATGAGACTGTAGACCAACAGTTGAGAGTGTGAGTTAAATACTAAGTAGGACACCAGAATAAACCATTTTCCCAACTATGTATTAAAAACTGGGTTTTTCACAAATTAGTTTTTCTAACAGGGTTCATGCTGTGCTAAGTCACTTTAGCCACGTCTGACTCTTTGTGATCCAATGAACTGTAGCCCTCCAGGCTCTCTGTCCATGGGATTCTCCAGGCAAGAATACTGGAGTGGGTTGCCATGCCCTCCTCCAGGGGATCTTCCCAACCCAGGGATTGAACCCATGTCTCTTATGTCTCCTGCATTGGCAGACATGTTCTTTACCATTAGCGCCACCTGGGAAACCCGAACAGGGCTCTGAAGTTACAAATTCATCAAAATAAGCAAACTGCCCATTTTGCCCATCCCAAAACCATTCAAGTATTGTTTTGATTCCAAAGGCTTCATTTGAAAAGCCACTGACTCCCTCAGTTTCAGATTATTGCTAATGGAATTTTTAATTACCTTTTGAAGGAAAAAAAGCTGGATTCTGGTTTGGGTAGTAAAAGAACAACTCACTTGATTACTTTTATACTTTTTTTAAAGAGCAGTTTTAGGTTCTTCTAGTGGAGAAGGAAATGGCAACCCACTCCAGTGTTCTTGCCTGGAGAATCTCAGGGACGGGGGAGTCTGGTGGGCTGCCATGTATGGGGTCACACAGAGTTGGACACGACCGAAGTGACGCAGCAGCAGCAGTGAGCCTGTACCTCTGGACTGTGAACATCATACTCGTTTCTCGGGTTTCCCCATCCCCCTTAGGTAGCACAGGATGGCTAGAGTGGGCTGGAACTGGGAATTTCCCTTCCCCTTAGTGCAGTACTCTCTGATAATACCCCAACTAGACAAGTTAGCTCTATTGAATGGTTTCTCCTGAGGGCAAGCCTTGTTAAGAATAGAGTACTCTGGTGTCTCTAGAATGGCTCCTTCCCGCATTGCCACTTTTTTCTACCATGTATAAAATCAGTCATGTGAGAGCATACAACTTTTTAGATGGCTCTATTTGGAAAAGACTCTGATGATGGGAAAGACTAAAGGCAAAAGGAGAAGGGGGTGGCAGAGGATGAGATGGTTAGATAGCATCACAGACTCAATGGACATGAATTTGATCAAACTCTGAGAAATAGTGAAGGACAGAGGAGCCTTGCATGCTGCAGTCCATGGGATCACAAAGAGCTGGACACGACTTAGTGACTGAAAAAGAAGAAGAAATAAATGTGTGGCAGTTCAATGTTGGTTACTGCCTGCTGTGGGTGGCATTGTTTAAATTTCTGAACTTTCAAGTCAAAAATGACAACCCATGTGACCTACTCATTCCCACCACCCTTTGTCAATATCAAACAGGCTTTACTGGGGGTGGGTCTGCACTGTAGAGAGAGTGACTGACTACAGAGACAAATGCATCAGCCTAGAGACAATCTCACTGTTGTCTTTCCCAGCATGCCTATATTTATCCTACTCTTGCCTTCCTATGTTCTTTATTTAAATTCTACAATGATTTATTTATATTCTTGTTTTAAGCCTCTCCAGATTCTTAATAAACAAACACAAAACAAACCAACCTCCAAGACATTTAGGTTTCTTGTACCTCAAAAGACACATTTAAAGACTAATGTTCTGAAGGTATAAACCCCATCAGCCTCATTAAGTGTTACACACGCTTAAGGCTGAAACGAGTCATTATACATCTTTAGCTCATATACCCTCCCTTGAGGAATGAGGCTGAAGGCTCATGCGGGTGTGGCTGTCACATATGATTCATCACCATTGCTGAAGATTGCATTTGTTTTGTGAACACCAGTGCTGTTTTCAGAGGCTTCCCTCAGCCTTTGAATTCTCCCAGTCATATATACCCAAAATAGCCTCATTCAAAACTATAACTCTGCTGCTCTTTTAAGTGCCGTGCTTGCTCGTGATAAGCCCCATCTGAGTCCATGCTGTACAAGCTGGTTTATCATGGTTGCAATCTATTCCCCACACATGGCCTCCTTCAACTGTGTTGTGGTCCTTGTAGTGGTGAAAATTATCAGTTCAGTTCAGTCGCTCAGTCATGTCCAACTCTTTGAGACCCCATGAATTGCAGCATGCCAGGCCTCCCTGTCTATCACAAGCTCCCGTAGTTTACTCAAATTCATGTCCATCGAGTCGGTGATGCCATCCAGCCATCTCATCCTCTGTCATCCCCTTCTTCTCCTGCCCCCAATCCCTCCCAGCATCAGGGTCTTTTCAAATGAGTTAGCTCTCTGCATCAGGTGGCCAAAGTATTGGAGTTTCAGCTTCAGCATCAGTCCTTCCAATGAACACCCAGGACTTATCTCCTTTAGGATGGACTGGTTGGATCTCCTTGCAGTTCAAGGGACTCTCAAGAGTCTTCTCCAACACCACAGTTCAAAAGCATCAATTCTTCAGCGCTCAGCTTTCTTCACCATCCAACTCTCACATCTACACATGACCACTGGAAAAACCATAGCCTTGACTAGACGGACCTTTGTTGGGAAAGTAATGTCTCTGCTTTTTAATATGCTATCTAGGTTGGTCATAGCTTTCCTTCCAAGGAGCAAGCGTCTTTTAATTTCATGGCTGCAATCACCATCTGCAGTGATTTTGGAGGCCCCCCCCAAAAAAAAGTCTGACACTGTTTCCACTGTTTCCCTGTCTATTTCCCATGAAAATTATAGACTTCCCCCAAATTATAGTTTAGTTTGGCATCCTAGTTAGGTGGATTAAATTATTCAAACCAACCCACCGGCAAGGAGGTCCCTTGGACTGCAAGGAGATCAAACCAGTCCATCCTAAAGGAAATCAGTCCTGAATACTCATTGGAAGGACTGATGCTGAAGCTGAAACTCCAATATTTTGGCCACCTGATGTGAAGAACTGACTCACTGGAAAAGACTCCCATGCTGGGAAAGATTGAAGGCGGGAGGAGAAGGGGACCACAGAGGATGAAATGGTTGGATGGCATCACCAACACGATGGACATGAGTAGGCTCCAGGAGCTGGTGATGGACAGGGAAGCCTGGCA